TTCAGAGGAAGTTAAAAAATTTTGAAGTGCAAAAGTCATATTAGAATTTTTGTTCTGCTTAACACAACTATCTGACCAGAGAATAATTTTTGTTATGCTTTTATTATCTTTAAGCAATTCCGTCAGGATCCTTATTAAAGCATTGGCAAAATCTCCACCCTCTCGACCAGTCATCCTTTCATTCCACAGACTGCAATACACTGTTTTATTTAAATTGCAGTATGCTGTTAAATTATAGCAGTTTAGCTTTTGCTTATTGAAATGAGATAAATATAAAATATAAAAATATTAGATTTTGGTAAGAAAAGACGTTTTCTAGATCGAAAGTAACAACTGCAATGCTTTTATCATTTTTTTTGTCCCTATCTTTTTCTTCTCTTGTCAGATTTTTATTACTTATGTGTGTTTCGTAAGTCTAAACAAACCGACGCACAGTGGGGTATTTGACACAGATTTTTGATCGAAATTTTTTTATGTAGACCTTATATAAATTATTGCTATTTTCAATTAAAGAGGAAATAATACGAACAAATAAAAGGATAATTCGTCGATTCTAAAAAAAAGAAAGAAAAATCACTGTTCCAGTGTTTCCACGGTCAATGCCAGTAGTAATATCGCAACTAATACTACTAGATTCAAATTACTTTCTAAATATAATTTTTGTGACGTGGCCCGGCAGTAATAGGAGTCGATTGTGGGAAACGATTGAATATAACGTCTCACCTCTTCAATTTTACTAGCTGGAATAACTTTTTTTTTATTTTTGCCCTTTAACGGCGATCTTGGAATTCCAGTTTCGGCATTGTGTGTCTTAGAGAAAAAATAGTATATTCGCTGTGAACTTATATTTAAAGTGCCCAAAAAGAAATCTTAACTCACGCGAATAGATTTGTCATTTTGTTCAAAATAATATTCAAAAGAAAGGTTTTTTTTATCACTTTCTCCGCGGTTTCGTGCCTTTAGTTTTCGAACGACATTTTGAGTAAAAAAGACCCTTTTTAGTATCTGACAATTTCCAAAATGCCTCATGAATAATTTCTCTATCTCTAACGCTAAAATTATTACTACAACTAAATTTACAATTTTGTGTTTTACAGCCATACTTAATATTTTTTTGGGATGAACATTTCCATTGATATCTACGTACTCTTGTACTCTTCCCTTGCCTCCCGCTTCCTTTTTCTTATATTCATTTTCCAATTATTGGGGTTACGAGACCTTTTCCTGGTAATTTTTTTGTCGATGAAGCATTGACCATGACCCTTTGGGCTTGAGCTGGTTCCTCAATGGGAAACTGTCCATTACTAGTATTTCCGTTTCTGCTCACCTCGTTTTGCTGATTGTCAGGTTCTTTACATTTAACTTGTTCGTTTGTGTTATCATTCTCATTTTGTTGTAAGTTCCTAATGGGTTATATATGGGAACTTCCCATATATAACTCTCTTGGAAAATATTTCTTTTATGCTGTCTATGCGTGTTTTATCATACTTTAGCTGACCACAGAATAAGAAAGCCGCTGACTGTCAAAATTTGCTGTAATTCTATTGGTTGTACAAACCGGCAACGCTGTTCCCCGATTCCACTTCCTCCCTTATACTCCTCGATGCGTTCGGTATTTCAAGAATACGAGATTTCGTTTTCAGGGAGGTCGAGTGAGGGAGCACTCCCCGGGAGCACCCAGGGACCACTCCTTTCTCTCGCTTTCAAGAATAGCTACCCAGGAGTGTAGCGTCCAGGGCCCGGTCGTAGCGGCGTATGCGACGGCGGCGGCGGTGTAGGCGTAGGTGTGAGGTAGGGGCCAGGCAGTCGGACTTGGATGTTAGAGAGGATTGTTATTCATCGTTCGGACGTAGGGGTGTTGCCGGATCTGGTGGGCGCTTTATTGAACGCCTCCACCAATCTCCTTACTTAAAGAATTTTTATCTGTCATCATTCAAAGCACACTTTATCATAAAACTTTCTGATCATATACAATGACAATATATAAATTTGCCTATAAAGTTGTGATGGCTGATTGCTTCCATCGTCGTGGAATATCAGATCTAAAACAAAATCTTAAAAGTCAAAATATTTTTATAATTTTAATGAGCCACTGGGTTAAACATCCACGGAGACCAATTTCTCAGTGGCTCTTTCTTTAAATACAAAGTTGCCTAGCCAAAAAATAAACCGACGTCGACGGTTCGGAGGCTCTCCCCCGTCGTCAAACTTAATAAAGAAATAACTTTTAATATAATAATTAGGAATTATGACATCACTCAAGAGGCCATAGTATTTATTAAATCAATATGTATATAAAGAATTTATCTAAAACTGATATCTAAAGCAAAATGGATTTAATAAACTAAGTAAAGTTTTGTCATAACAGAATTTTAATGACTCAAAAATAGTTAGTGCTTGCCTTTTCTTCTCTTTTCATATTTACTAAATGCTAAATTTGTTAAAATATCAAGATTTTTATATCTAATATCTTTACCACTTAAAATGTTGTTAACTGTTTTAATGTAATGAAATAAACATATATTAATAGAAATAGACACAATTTTGGAAACCATAGCACTATGATCTTTACAAAATATCGAATTGAAATTTGTTTCATTGATATTTGATTTTAATGATTTCTTAATACCATAACTATTAATTATTTTTGACGGCATCATTGAATATACCTTTTCTGAGATTAATTTAAAACTATTAATAAATGTAATCGACGGACTAATTAAAGACCCTTTACTATATTGTCGTTTCCTAAATAAAATATTTTCAGGTAAATCTTCTTTGGATTGCAAAATATTTGCACAATCATCACAACTATGTTTCTTATACAGTTTTTTTATTACTACACCTGCGACACAAGGTGTTGCTAAGTCAATATCTGTTTCTCTGTTTGTAAATTTTTTTTTAGGATATACAGGTGTTTTAATGTTTGGTGGTTTAAAAGGCCCTTGTTTAATGTGAATAAATTCTTTAAAAGTATCAAGTAGACCTGATGACTCATCATTTTCGCAATTTGAACCTAGAGAGTATGACGACATAAAATATTAATATCAGAGTTTTGACTGAAAAAATAAACGCAGAACAAGTAGGATTAGTATTATGACTTCTAATTAAAGAAAAGAAATTCTCTACTGGATCCTGATTAAACGACATTGGAGAAAGATATGAGAAACCATTATTTCTTAAAATTTATATATATATATATAAAACTATTAATTGTGTGTTGCCAATTTTTTTAGAGATGGGGTTATTATTTTTTGAGACTGACCAGAACTATAAAACATAGATTTTAAAATTACAAGAGCATTTTACCAAGTTTCGAGATGTTTCAACTTTATCGTGACTACACGTCTAAGCTCTTTTCCTGCAGGACTGACAAAAAAAATATCTGCCGTATCTGTGGCAGATGGATCTAAATAAAAAATCGAATCTTTAGAAAGCCCCTTACTTACTTCCGCCTTAAATTTCATATTTAGAGCCACTGACCTACTAAAAACTTGGGTACAATTTTTCACCTTCATCTTTCTTATCTTATCTGGCATGATATGTTCATCTGTTAATTTAGAAAATTCACTAAAAATACCCCTTCTACAATCAGCTTGATGAATGTTAATAACATGGGACCAAGAAGCAACTTTCTGCTAGCCATTTTGAACAAAATTTAAATTTTTTGTAAGTAATCCATTTCTAACACCCTTCATTAAATGAGGGATAAATCCCAATCATAGATATGAATTACTTCCAATTCATCAACAAGGTATCCATTATATCTATTCTCAATATCATTTCTAACACAATAAGCATTGGTCTCATTTTCAGGTAGTTTATAGCTGCAACATTGGTTGTTCCTTGGTCACAAACAGTTGCAATAACTTTTAAACCTGTCTGACGAACATATTTTACCACATCCTTGATAATCCTAACTAAATCGACAGTTGGAGTAGCGCTCAGAAAAATAAAAATAAATTGGCTGTTTCATCTTTTACGAATACCTTTTAGCATAAAAACTAAAGCATGATCGGCAAAGAGTGCTCTTCTCTCTGAACCACCAAAATCGACTAAACCATCAATACAATCTTTGGACGGATTGTAAGCTAAACCAGGACATAATTAAATCTCATCAAACATTAAGACACAGTATTTATCTAACTGATTTAGTTTTTTAACTGTCTGTTCTAAATGAATAAAAATGTGAGAGTTTATGCCACAATTAAATGCAATTTGTCTAAGTAGCAAAAAGAGTCTTACGTGAAGGTAGAGCAAGAATTTTTGAGATAAATCTGTATGATTTACCACTTTGTTTGAACAGTGAAAGTGCAAATATTTTGTCATCCAGTGTAAAGCGTCTCCCTTTAGGATGTAATTTTTGATTTCTTACCTGGCTGAGGACAATTGCGTAGCTGACATCCTTAAAAATATTAATTTGTCTTCTCATCAATCGCTGCTTCGTACGAGTCGTCATCTTTCTGGATTTTGTGGAGGCCCTGGTGAGTCTCTCTTGATCCAGCGGCGATGAGAGCTTCGGTGAGTCCCTCGTGGTCCATCGGCGTTGAGAGCTTCGGTGAGTCCCTCTTGGTTCAACGGCGTTGAACTGTCCTGCAAATGGCTCAGTTATGGATATCCGTACACCAGTAACACACAAAGGAATTAGTTCAACTCTTCATGAACGCAGGCCGGTTGGTCGCCATATATTTGCATATTTCTTAAAACGAGCAGATGAGATATAATACAACAATTTCCTTTAAACAAAAAAACTTCCCTCTCCTCTCTCTTTTCCCTTTAAATTTAAAAAACTAAACAGCCAAACTCCACAACCAGCCAAAAACTCACAACCAAACCCCACAGATATAACAGACTTAAAATCGCACAATTTCCCTTCCTTTTCTTTCCCTTAACAACAAAAAAAAAACAATGTTATATTCCCCTTTTTTTCCGCTTAACTATCAAAAGATATAAATCGACACCCTTTTCTTTATTTGCTACCTTGAAAATTCCTCCCCCCCCCCCTTATAAACACCCAGCTAAAAGAAAACAAAATGGAAAATAAAACACGTCTTCTATAATAAAAAAAGCAAATTAAATCCAGATTTCTTTTCGGACGGAACTTTTAAAGGTTCATTAGGATCCCCAGGCTACCAGTTAGAATGATTTTCATACTTCTACGCATTTTTCGGAATGGTTTCCCAGATCCGGCATCTCGTACTTGTTCGCAAGCGAACCCGCGTGTTTACCCAGAGAATCCACTTCCTCCAGGGTACCTATTCTTGAGTTTCAGGGAGAAGAACTCCCGAGAGAAGTGGGCGTGGTAATCATAAAACCGTATTCTTGAAAAAATATCGAGAGAGGGAGCAAGGAACTGGAGAGTTCCCGGGGAGCTAAACGTTCTCTTACTATAAAGCCAGGGAGAAAGCAAACGTCACCTAACTTAACCCGTTTTGACAATGGCAACTGACATTTGACATTTTCTGGATTTGTCAATTTTTGTCTTTGGCTTGGTCGTTAGCATAGTCGTTGGATTTTAATGTTTATGTTTTGTATGTGCAAATTCGGATTTAATTTAATTTATAGTGTACTTTTCGTGTTTTTCTGTTTTCGTACTTTATTTTAGTTTATAGTGAACTTTTCGTACTTTGGTGGACTTTTACAGACATTATATAAAACATTAATTGTGTTGTTAGTTTGTAGCTGGTAAGTTGCTGTCTAAATCTTATTTTAATACATAAAAAAATCTCTCTATATATAATAAAATTATCCCTCTAATAAGTAATACCATCATGTCATTTCAGGTAAAATCATCCAAACCAACCTATCTTTAGACTTACTTAAACCTAAAATGGATAATTTTAATTTAATGTTATGGAACGAAATTATAAATGAAGATGTTGAAGAAGCTGTGGCGGATTTGGCGATCGGCAGGGATTTTTTGCCCCAATCAGATGCATTTAGTTTATGAGACATAAAATTTTTACAGATATTCAGACTTGATAATCAGCTCTGTAGGGATGTAATTAACATGGTCACCCCTTTTTTAGCCCAACCGACTAGAGCCTCTTGTTTATCTATACAAACCAAGGTAAGTAAAAGTAGTTGTGACCATGATTATATGCAGTATGTTTCAGGATTGTCTTTATAAGTGCCAAAACTTTTTTATTATTGGCATTTAGGGGGAAATGAACTTTTTGCTTGTTCAATAACGGTTAATTCCGTTTATATTTTTCCCAATTTCCATACTGTTTTAGAGAAAAAATGAAAAAAACGTGAAAATACAGATAGAATTTTCATCATATTTTTTGCTGTTTTAAAATTTTAAAGAAGCACAAAATTTATTCAGTTCAATGCTATGGAAAGAGTGATATTAGTTATCGGAAAATGTGATACTTTAACTACAGCAAAAATATGACGCTACTCAAAATAAATAATATCTATCTATCAAAGAATGAAATCGGAATTAAATTACCACAGAAACGATTTTTTATTTTTAGGACTTCAAAAATTCAATGATTTTTTCATGGTTTTGTTAATTTTTTAATATTTCCATTATTTTTAGGTATTAGCGGCTTTGCGATTTTACGCTTCTGGAAGTTACCAGGAAATTACTGGATCGAACAGTTTTGTGGCCATTAGCCAACCATCAATTAGCCGAGCAATAAATGAGGTCACAAATGCACTAAACCAGCCTGAAATTCTCAATCATATTATAAGGTTTCCTCAAACCATTGAAGAGCTGCAGACTATTCGAACCAGGTGATAATTGAATGTGAAATTGAAAAGCCTAATATTATTTTTTATGGTGATTTATTAAAAATGGTTAAAAAAACAATTTACTTTTTGAACTACTTCTTTAGGGTTTATGAAAAGTACCAGTTTCCTGGAATTATTGGGTGCATTGATTGTACTCATGTGAGCATTGTGGCCCCACAGACTAACGATGAGCATGCTCCTGAGCATGTCTATGTAAAGAGGAAAAATTATCATTCGATTAATGTACAGCTCGTAAGTTTATTAGAAAGGAAATTTTGAAAAGTACCTTTAGGCATAAATATACTACTTTTCAGATTTGTGATGATAATCTTAAAATTTTAAATGTGAACTCAAGATTCCCAGGTTCAACATATGATTCACATATTTGGAGAGAATCTGTAGTTTCCAATTTAATGGAGCAGAGTTATATAGGAGAATACCTGAAAATCCTTTTATCTTGTTGGGCGATTCAAGTAAGTCTTACATGACATTGAGAATGAGTAAATTTTATTTCAACGTTCAATCATGTTTGATATTAATTTTAGGGTATCCTACTCGTCCTTGGTTACTGACACCAATTTTAAATCCACAAAACCTTGGACAACTAAGATATAATGATAGATTGTGTTCCACAAGATCTATCATTGAACGGTGTAATGGTGTACTTAAAAACAGATTTAGGTGTCTTTTAAAATATCGCTCTTTACATTACCATCCAACAACAGCAGGAAAAATTGTAAATGCTTGTTGTGTCCTACATAACCTATGTATAGAAAGAAATATTCCCGAGATAGATGAACCCCATATTCAAGAGCCTGATTATGGCATATACAATAACCGAAATATTGTTGATAATATACCACAGCCAGTTAACCGTGATTTGATAGCTGCAAGAGATTTACAACAAAATATTATTGCTAATCATTTTATTATATAAATGTTATTCTTTTAATTAAATTGAACTTGTTCGTAAAAATATATAGTTATGTAATAATGGGTATAATATATTATATATATATATATATATATATATATATATATATATATATATATATATATATATATATATATATATATATATATATATATATATATATATATATATGAATTAACATAACCTGTTTGTTTCTACCTTTTTATTTAATTAAAGTTATATAAATGTATATGAAATATCTATATAAAAATAGTAATAATACAACTGTTTAGTTGTGGCAACTTAATTCCTAGGGTTTTATAGATTTAATTACGTGGATTTTTGAGTTTAAGAGTAAATTCAAGAGTACCAGATATAAATAAAACAAGTTCATATTTTATATGCTGTACCAAAAACATGAAGTATAAAGGTTATGCAAGGGAGTAAAAAACATTCTAACAAAAAATAACTATTTTATTTCTACAAATCGAAATGAGTCAATATATAAAATTTAATTTCACAAATTAAAAAAACTCTTCTAATAAAAGTATGAATATGTCCAACTAAAAAACAAGCTCTTATAAACAATATATAAAATTTTTAAAAACAAAAACCCCGTAACTAAAAAAAATCTTTAAAAAAAACAATAAATAATCTCTTAAAAACTAAAAAAAATGTTATAAACAAAAAAATTAACTCTTATAAACAAAAAAAACTCTTACAAAAACTAAAAAATCTTATAAACAAAAAAACTCTTACAAAAACTAAAAAATACACTCAAAAAAAAACAAAAAAACCCTAAAACTAAAAAATCTTATAAACAAAAAAAGAAACTGTTATAAACTAAAAATAAACAAAAAAAACTCTTTCAAAAACTAAAAAATAAACTCTAACAAAAACCCCTTAAAAAACTAAAAAATCTTGTAAACAAAAAATAAACTCTTAAAAAGCAAAAAACCCTAAAAACTAAAAAAAAATATAAATTAAAAAAATAACTCTTATAAACTAAAAATAAACAAAAAAACTCTTACAAAAACTAAAATATAAACTCTTAAAAACAAAAACCCTAAAAAACAAAAATTCTTATAAACAGAAAAGTAAACTCTTAAAAAAACAAAAATTAACTAAAAAAATAAACTCTTAAACAAAAAATAAAACTTTTAAAAACTTGTAAAAAACAAAACTCTTAAAATAACATTGTCTTATTCGCAATTACTTGCAAGTTTTTGAACCGCACTGGAAATTGATGCGAAAATTTTTAAATGTTTGTCATAATATTCTTTTTTTCTTTCCAATGCCTCAGTTTTTGTTTTATAATATGTACATTTTAATTCATAATACTTTTTTTTTAATTCTAATTTTTTCTCTCTGTAGCTCTCTGTAGAGCAAATACTTTTTTGGTTTATGTCTAAAAATCTCTTACTATTATTTATTGATTCGGTCAGTCTTTGTGATTTAGTACATCTTTTTTTTGCTTTATCAGTTTGATTGTCCTTAGATGAAGAGGGTTTGGGTGTTTCACCTTCTTTTGATGTGGAGGGTTTGGGACTGCCAAGTTGATGTCCTCTTGATGTAGAGGGTCGTGGCGTATATAATGAGTAATTATGTTCTCTCTGTGGACTTGCATTTTCCTCCATGTCCCCTTCTAAATTGATGATTTCAATAATTTCCTAAAATACAGAAAAGATAAGAAAATTGACCAATTACTGCACTTGATTTTCATTTCTTATAAGATACTAACTTCATGTTTTGTGAAAAAAAGCTGTTGTTTGCCCTCATTAAATGAATAACTATTTTGTAAATATTTTAGTACTATGAAAAATAAGACGTCTACATTTACCAAAAAATGGTATATTAGTTTCTTTAACTAAAGAAATTTAGATCAATAATAAGGTACACTCACATTGTTTTCATCGGTGGCCGGGTCTTCATCAAAATGAAAAATAATTTCCGGCTCGGGGATATGTATGTTTCCCTCAATTGCCACTGGAGTTATTATCTCCAACAATTTTTCTTCCATTGACTTTTCCGTTTTTTCCACAGGTGGCAATGGAGGACCTGAAAAAATCTGACAAAAACTTACCTTTCTCCACTGTTTCCATTCTTTGGTTGCCCCACCTGGAATGGCATTTAAAATTAGGGTTACCTCCTTCCACAACGCCATGGATGTGGCATTTGTATAGGTTGGCGTCAACTTGCCTTTAAACATATCTGGACGGGCGTATACAAAATCTATCAAGATTTCTTTTTGTTTTAAACTTAATTGTTTTGATTTCGACTCCATTTTAAATAAGCACAAACGATAGGCAAACGACTAACTACCGCATAGAATCTGAGACTGAACTACCGTAACAAAGACCATAACACATCCGTAACCACCGACTGACAAAACTCGAAGTTTGAGCGTACCCATGCCGATGCCGCTGACCACAGAATAAGAAAGCCGCTGACTGTCAAAATTTGCTGTAATTCTATTGGTTGTACAAACCGGCAACGCTGTTCCCCGATTCCACTTCCTCCCTTATACTCCTCGATGCGTTCGGTATTTCAAGAATACGAGATTTCGTTTTCAGGGAGGTCGAGTGAGGGAGCACTCCCCGGGAGCTCCCAGGGACCACTCCCTTCTCTCGCTTTCAAGAATAGGTACCCAGGAGTGTAGCGTCCAGGGCCCGGTCGTAGCGGCGTATGCGACGGCGGCGGCGGTGTAGGCGTAGGTGTGAGGTAGGGGCCAGGCAGTCGGACTTGGATGTTAGAAAGGATTGTTATTCATCGTTCAGACGTAGGGGTGTTGCCGGATCTGGTGGACGCTTCTGGTGAACGCCTCCACCAATCTCCTTATTCTCTCCCTTCTGGCCTCCTGCTTTTCTTTGCTCTTCCTGGCCTCCTCCTTCATGAGAAACAACGGGCCCACTGGTCGGAATTCCTTATGGTAATGTGTGTATTTCTAGTGAGCTGGTTTTAAATCTTTTATGTGTACGCCGTATCTTACGGTTATTTTTATTGGCCAAATCATAGACTATCGGAGATATTTTACGAGTGATGGTATAAGGTCTGGAGTATTTTGGTGCTAACTTAGCAGCAAAACCTTTCACGGCAGAAGATAGAGGATGCTCCCTTTTCATCACTTGATCGTCGAGATTACACTGCCATTCTCTCCTTCTTAAATTATAATAATGGCTCTGTGACGCGAAGGCGCGAGATAAATTTAAACGGACCAATTCGAAAGTTTCCTTTAAACGGTTTAAGTGATTTTCGGTACTTGTTATTTCGGCGATAGTCGGCTCGGGATTTTCTGACGGAACAGACGGCTGTTCTTCGCGCAGAAGAGTTTTCGGCTGCTCGAGTTCTCTTCCAAAGTTCAGGAAAGCCGGGTGAATCCAGTCGAATCGTTACGGGACGTATTGAAGGCAAACGTCAGTTCAGAGATATGGGCACACCACTTCTTATGGTCGGCTTCGCAGAATTGCGCAATCATGGTCTTGATTGTTTTATTCGCTCTTTCGACGGGGTTCGCTTGTGGTGTGTATGGTGGTGTAAGTCGGTGGTTCACTCCAAACTCCTTCAACAGTTCACGGAATGGTTGACCGGTGTACTGAGTGCCGTTATCGATAATGACTGTGGCCGGTCTTCCAAAACGCATCAGGATTTCGTCATATAAGGTCTGACTGACAGCTTTGGCAATCGCAGTTCTAATGGCCTTACATACTATCCATTTGGTAAAGCTATCCTGGAACACAAGGACCTAACAGTTCCCTTTCGTAGACCTAGGCAATGGTCCCACTAAGTCAGAACTCACAGTTTCCCACGAGCTTCGGACAGGTGATGGTTGGACATTTCCGGACTTAATGGGCAATATCTCTAAACATACCTGGCCAGTAATAACGGGCAGCAATCCGGGTAGTAATCTTGGCAATACCTAGGTGTCCAGCGGTGGGATGATCGTGATTTTCTTGAAGAACTAGGAGCCGTGCAGGTTTTAGAACACACCGTTTCCATGGGTCTTGCATCTCGGCTTCCTTGGCATCAGTCATGTCCAAAAAGTGACGAAACAGCTTTTCATCCCGAATGCAGTAATCAGGAAATAACTCCGGATGCCCCTGTACTTCAGCTCTTTTCTTTTCATACCAGGGACAAATCTCAGTCTCAGATATTGTCAGTAACGGCTCTTCGGTCGGCGGTGGTTCGGTCGGACTTCGAGATAAAGCATCTGCTATTTTGTTCAACACCTTTTTTCTATAACGTATTTCAAAATCATACTGTTGCTAGACATTCTGTGGCAGTATGTTTCTTCTCGGCGGAGGTAAGTCTGCGGCTAGCATAAATAATGACATGATCACCATCATGTAAGTGTTGAATAAGAGCTGGTCCTAAACCATTATCACTTGCATCAGTCTACAGAACAAATGGCTTCTGGAAATCTGGACATGTCAGAACTGGCGCTCTAGTCAAGCATTCTTTGAGTGTGTCAAAGGCTTCACTTTGCTCTTCTTGCCATTGCCACTTATTGTTCTTTTTCAGCAGGTCGTTGAGATGCTTAGCAATTTGTGAAAATCCTGGAACAAATCTGCGGTACCAGGAAGCTATACCTAAAAATCGACGGGGACTTCGAACATTGTCGGTGTGGACAACTCCAAAAGAGACGCTACCTTGTCTGGATCTGTTCGTATTCCTTTGAGTGTCACCCAGTATCCCAAATATTTGAGAGATTTTCGTCCGAACTGGCACTTCCCAGGATTAAGCTTCAGGTTTGCGTTCTTCAAGCGCCGAAAAACTTCTTCTAGGTGCATCAGGTATTGTTCAAAAGTCTCACCTAGTACAATGATGTCGTCAAAGTAGGCGAAATAATAAAGATTTAGATCAGGTCCTATGATTCCATCCATCAATCTCTGGAAGGTGGCAGGCGCTGAATGTAACCCAAACGGCATCACTTTGAACTGGAACAACCCTCTAGTGGGTATGGTGAATGCAGTTATGGGCCTAGTCTCTCGAGTTAGCAGTACCTGCCAGTATCCTTGTTTGAGGTCGATGCTGGATATGTACTTGGCTTTACGAAGTTTGTCCAAAATCGCATTTATGAACGGCAAGTAGATAGTAGAGTAAACGCTAATAGTAATAAAAAGAATACGACCTACCCTCGATCACTTCGGCGGCTGGTGCTTACCTTGCGCAGTACGGCGGCTGACGGCTGGTCACTTGGCGGGGCACTCTGGAACTCGACTTCACTGTCTCGCGTGTGACCACGAACTATCGTTTTCTCACTGCTGCAGCCGAGGTACTCGACTGGCGCTCCACTCCACTTAGCGGAGTAGGGCAATCGGCGTGGATTATTCGTTTTCTCGCAAGTTACATCCTGTACATTAGGTTTAGTACACATAAAAATGTACTTGCTTTGTAATCAATGTAATCTTATAAATATGACTCAAACAGTACATTAGTTTGAGTCCAATGTAGATCTTAGAGCTGTTAACTTCGGTTTTTATTAAATAAAACATTTTTTAAAAACAACTTGTCTCGAGTTAATACATTAACAGTCATTATATAAAAGAAAATGAAGTCCATTTTATTCTTGTATAATATTAATTTACTCAATATACAGGGTCTCCCAGGAATAAGTGCAGACATTTTTATGAACTTCATTATTACACTATAGTTTTGTGTTTTTGCCAGTGACCATAGAGTTGTAGTGGTTTTTCTAATGTTCTTAATGAAACCCCTTTAATCCACCCTAAAACTGTTGAATTGTTTGTAATACTCTCCCATTCAGTAATAAAAAACCGTAAATTACCAGCATACATACTCTTATTTACCTCTATTGATGATACTGTCTGCGCGTTTGAGCCTTGTGCCCCTTCCCTGAAGACGATGTTCCTCTGTGGCTCTGACCTTGGCGGTTTGCCCCATAAGTTGGGCGGTAGTGGGTCAGAGCAGGGCGTTTGAAGTTTCCAGAAAAACTTGGTTTCCGGGTTACTTCATGTTTCGGCTTCGAAATGACTACTCGTTTCGCCAGTTTCAATTCGGTCATGGTTTTCTTTATTTCATTTGATGATTTCATATTACTGCTGAAATTATTTCCGAACAACATTTCCTCAATTGGAGATTGTTCAACAACTTTTTTTTGTGGCATGGTTGAGGTGAGGGCTGATTAAATATCTTCTATGAGTGGATAATGAATGATGCACATCCACAATCAATCTTGAGCAATCTATTAGACTCTTAAGCCAAGGGTTTGTTTTATCCGATGGCTCGGTATACATCTGTTCCATTGGAACTGCTATAGCACTGATAGCATTTCCCAACTGCGTCTGTACCTTTGCCAGGAAAAGGTCTTGACGTCTGCTTCCTTCCTTTAGACAAGCTGTTACCTCCTCATTCGTTGTGGGGCCGTTTAGTGCTTGCAGTTTTTTTATTATGGGGTATGTTCTGATAAGTTCACTACTTTCCTCTTTAGTTATTCCATTCTTGGTAATGGCATTCCATGTAGATGTGATTTCATTTCTAATTTCTGGGACTTCAAGAGGAGTGACATTTGGATTGACTCCCAAAATGTCGGCAGAAAGAGGCTCTGCACAGGGTTGTCAACATGGTCACTCATTCGTTATTGTTGAGAAAAATTTAACTTCCAAAGAAAAACTTCTTTGTCTCAACAAAGTAATCTTATATTTGTGGCTAGCTGGACAAAGGTCTCTTTGTTATTCGGCCGGCCACGGCGTTTGTTTATATTAGATAAACGCTGAAACGCGCTCCCGACGCAATGAGAAAAAAAATTGTAAAAGCCAATCTGAGGCCTTATGTCGATCTATTAATTAGTTTTGCGGCGAAGACAAATTTTAATTTTTTAAGTTATGTTATTAATTTTTAAATTAATTGTTTACATGCAATAAGTAATATGCATTTATGATATATGAATCTACACTCAAATTTCCTCTTATTTGGTACTTACTTGAATCTGACGATGACGACACCATTTCTAGCAATTTTTGTTATTTATTAAACTTTTTCACTAATTTCTCTTTGGCTGTGTTTTTTGATTTGGTTTTGCGCTGTTTCTTATATCTTCCCATCTTAAAACACGTAATAACTCACAAATTAATAACTCACAATAAATTAAACGTCACACCACACTGCAAATAAAAACAGAATGATCTGGCTGACACGGCGGAGGATATAGGGGCGGCGTTGCTTTCTTTAAACGTTTGCACGAACACTCCAAGCAGACAGTTCCTACAACGTGAAAAATTGTAATAATGAGGATACTAATTTGTAATAAACTACTTTCAGAGCCTCCCAAAGTGGAGAAGGTCAAGTACTGGCAGCTGGATAATCAAAGTCCGATTGGATCCGCAAATATATGAAGATATAGATGTTTAAATAAAGAAGAATATATTAGTGGTAAGTAAAAATAAGTATATCGGTCTCTGCCTCGGTGTTATAGTTTTGACAGTAGTTGGCTCCCAAGTAATTTAAAATGAATTATAATTTTAATTCGTAATGAAGAATATGTAACGTTATTACTTTTTATTTATATATTTTTTACAGATTATTGCCAAGAAGGTGATTACTAGTAGTTCTAGCAGTAACGAGGTTTCCAAAAGGACTGGTAAGGCTGGGAGTCAAAAAAATGGGAGTGTTCACTTCCAGAGGGATTAGCTAATGCCATTAGAAGACTCGATAGGGTTTGGCAAATTGGTGTCTAGTTAGTTACCATAATAGAATAGAAAGGTATGTACCTTTTTCAAAACGGAAAACACACATTTCTTTCCTAGCCTTAATAATTAAAATCAGATTATTAACAGTTTAAATTATATTCACTTTGGGTAGATATTGTTTTAAATAATAATATATAAATGTCTTTTACCCTGTTGTTTAATTCATTACTAACGCATTTTTTTTGTTTATAGGTACCTATGCTCACCTTTGGTAGCAGTTCTTTACCAGCCATCCGCAGTTCGCAGTCTCTGGAATACCAGAGGGGCTACAGTTTGATTTATTTTATTTTATTATACATTTATATTTTATATAATAAACTATTTCATATAATACCAACTTCCATGCTTTATTTTGACCGACTTAAAGTTCATGAATAAATTCGAAATATTCTGAAAAAACTTTCCTTTTTAAGGTCTCCAAACTGAATTGCAATATCATTTAAGGGGTGGTAAAAAGGTTGAGTTGGAGAAAAATGTTGGGGAAAAACTTCTTCAGTAAACTCTAAATAGCCTAAAAACGTTCCTTGGAGTCTCTAAATTAAAATACAATATCATTTAATTGGGATGTTTTGGGTAATTTTATAAATAAAATACTTGACTCCAGAACATTTATTTTAACTTTTTTCAGTTAACCTCTAAATTGACACTAGGGATTATTGCCATTATTGGAATTCTCAGCTCTCATTTATATAATTATACTATAGGCAACCAATAATACACACTCTCATAACATCATAATATATCTTTAATTTTGAAAGCTCTAACATGTACATACATATATACTGCCGTGCTAAGCAAGAAGGTCGTATCTGCAATTTTTGTTTGTCTGAGAAAAACGTGCTTTTATGAAAAATGTAGTTTTTTCTGTAAAAATGCAGTTAGCGCTATGTGTCTATAACAACGAAAATAGTTAGGAATTCTTGCTTTTCGAAAAGTTTTGAGTATTTTGAAGGTCATACAGGTGAAAAAATGCAGATACGACATTTTTCTTTAGTTTTGTTCATTACTATGCTAATAAAAGTCGTCATATTTGCGAAAGTAATGTATTAAACTCTTAAAATATAATGCACACTAAACATAGTTAAACAGGTAATATTAAACTAAACAATACAATTTGGTTTTTCGCTCAATTCTAATTATTCTAAATCAACTTCATGCTCAGTTTCTTTAAGATTTTGCCAAAATAGCAATCGGTTTTGTGGAACCAGACCTTGATTTTTTTTTAAAATATTGTTTTTTCTTTCCTTGGATATTCCCCTCTCAATAAGTTTTCTGCTCGGTTGAGGCAAAGACTCTTTTTCATATTTTTGTAATAAGAAATTTAGATATTGAAAATCTTCAGAAAAAGATGATTTAAATTTTAAACCTCTTTGCCCCCTCTGAAACTGAACAAAAACCATATCCTGCAGATAAGGTCTGGAATTTATTTTGCTCAATTTATATTGTGATGTTAAGTCTGGAAAGGTATAAAAGCTATCAATGTCCATTTCTTTGACAATTACCTTTTTAGAATTTAGCTGGCTCTACACATTCACTAAAGTCTTTAAAATCATAAACTTTTTTCTTTTTTTTTAAAGCCAATTCAACTTGGTGATGAAAAGCGTCACTGGACATAAACGTGTGTCCAGACTGAAAATATTTTAGATTTAATTCCTTTAAATTAATTTCGTTTGAATTAATAATGTAAGTTATAAATGAAAATAGTTCTTATTCTGCGCAGCGCAATTATCTAACCATATTGTTACATTTTCTGCATCCCTAATAGAAACTAAGAATTTATAAAATGTTGATGTAATATCGTATTTGGACCTTCCTGATATACCTTCGTGCCAAATAAAAGCGATTGGTTTTTCTTGCGATTTTCCTATAGGCACAAACGTTTCGTTGAATACAATAACTCTAGGCATAAAGATGATTTCCTTAAACATCTCGCACCTGGGAAGCATAATCACCTGAAATAAGAAATGGCAATTTAGTAATAAATAATGACAAATTAATAATATTTTCACCTTTTGGAGATCTGCTGAAACATATAAACCATCTTTCTTACCACTGTCTAGCTTATACTCTTATCTTGCCTTTCGATATCCATCTTGATGTTTTGAAAATGATGTGCACACATCACAGTCTTCAGAATTATTGTTCTTTTGATGTCCTGTTGACATGCAATGGATTCTAAATGATTCGCATACAAAACATTCCTCATGTCCTAGATTTGAGAATGAAATGTTCATACGCGCCACCACTTTTCTGTAGAGTTCATAGGAAATATTAACTTTATGCTGTAGTAAAAAGTTTTTATGGATTGCCCTTATTGTGATATCACTTGGTAAGTATTTCCGTAATGGAGCATGTTCCCGTCTATAATGGGAAATTCAATTCAATCAATGTTTCGTCAAACTTATTTTCTTTTTGTTTTCTACCACGATTATCCTGTTTTGGAACAATGGATGTCCTTTCATCTCTTAGGGTGACATTTCTCAGAACACGATCGTTTTTCAGTTCATATCCTAATGTTGCCAAAATAAACTTTTCACAAACCTGCTGATTAGTTCCGGTCTCATCAGGTAAATAATAACAAACAGATTTATTTCTTCTACAACATCCAGCAGCGGTCACTATTTGCGATCTTCTTTTAACACCGGTGGTACTAGTTTTGTGTAATATAAAAGCCCGCCTCTCTTTTTCATTCATGTTTCAATATTCTTTATTTATAACTTCCTGTCGTTGTGCACTGATTTTTTGGATACATTTCTTTTTACATTTTTCTCCACAGTTTTCTTTAACGAGAGAATGTTTTTGCCTATTTATGGATAGTCGCATTTTTATTCCTTGTTTCCGGAGAAGTATCGTACCTTTTTCTTTTTCTTAAAGTTCCTTTCTTCGTATACATGTCTCCATTTAATTTGGTTGAAACTTTTTCAACAATTTCGCCTAAGATCTGCTTTATTTCTTTTTGAGTATCCCTCTCTTTTATTATTGTCAAAGGTAAATTATCTTCTTCAGAAGATTCGTTTTCAATTATTTCAATTTCAGAAATATCTGAGTGGAATTCTCTCTAGACTCTGACAAGATGAATTCTTGATCTTTAATAGAATCATCGCTATCTTCTAAGAAATTATTAAAATCATTATTTTGTTCTTTCTCCATGTCCATCATGTGTTTTATTTTCTTCTGCCTCTATGTTAAAATCCGAATTATTTTTTATTTTCTGTACGTTAATATCCGAATTATACTGTTTTTCTTCCAAATCTGAATTAAATTGCTCTTCTCTGTTGTAAACATCCAAATTATTTTGTTCTTTCTGTGTGTTATCGTCCAACTTATATTGGTTTTCTTCCATGTTATTATCTGAAATAGTTTGATCTCCTTCTATGTTAACATTCGAATTATTTTTTCTTTCCTGTATGTTGACATCCAAATAAGATTGTTTTTCTTCCATGTTGTTGGTATCTGAACTTGTTTGTGTTCTTTCTCCGTTAATGTCCGAATTATTTGAAAAGTTCGCCGAACATTTTAGGGCAAGTTGCAAAATTTTTTGAGTTCTTTTGTTCATCCTACAATTAAAAAAAAAAAATGCTGTAGATTTATATTAATATATCATTTACAAGAAACGTTTTTTAGATAACAAAAAACATCAATAATATTGACATTGGTCTGGAAAGTTCATAAATCGAAAACGCGTAATAAAAAATTAAGCGTTCAGATTAGTTATTAATGTCAGTATTATATATGGAATGCAGTACAGGGTGTTTCCTCATACTTCGCCACCCCTCATATCTTTTTTAATTGAAGAGATAGAAAAAAAGTTTTGATATGAAAGTTTTATATTTTTTTTTGTACGTATCAAATTCGAAAAGGTAAGAAAAAACTATAAAACTTTCATATTAAAACTTTTTTTCTATCTCTTCAAATAAAAAATATAAGAGGGGGGCGAAGTATAACGAAACACCCTGTACAAAAAAAATAGGGCGAGGAGGCACGAATTATAATGTCTATTTTTAAATAATATCTCAAAAAAACTGAGGCTTTGGCGTACTATGATGTTACCAAATAGCGTGTTGCAAAAAAAAATCGTTAATTACGTTTTAAAAACCGCATCAGCGCGCGGTTTGAACACAGGCATTGATTTAATCAGTCCAAAAAAAACATATACAAGCACTTTGTTGCATGTTCACTGATTAAAATTTAATAATATATATAAATACTTACCTGTATTGTTGTATTTAAGTACACAGATCACAAAAACAGCTTAAAACGTTTAAATATTTAAAATATATCAACTCTTCAACATACCGAAATCCAACGTGTGTCATACAAATTTTAGATTATGTTGTTTGAGTACTAAAAGGAACTGTTATTTCTGGTATTAAATTTGTAACATACGACAATTCTTCTTAGCATAATTCAGATACGACAAATTATATTGACCCCGGTCACAACTTTTTCAGTTATGACAATAAAAGAATTGGTCGTATCAGCCATGCATCAGCCATATACGACAATTTTTAAAAGTATATGCTACATATGACATATTTCGTTGGGACCAGTGCCAATTTTGCAGATATGGCAAATTTTATAAGCTCATATTATAATTTAATTTTCATCATACGACATTTATTTCTAGTACGATAGGTGTAAAATTATGCAGAGATACTTAAACTGGGAAAAAACAATTTTTGACAAAATTGTCAGATACGACCTTTTTGCTTAGCACGGCAGTATAATTATTTAAATTTTGCTGTATATGTGACGGACTTTGATTCTGAAAGTGGTATACCCTGAAAAGAATTAATTATGTTAGAAACTCACTGCACATAATATGCTTTTAAATATATTTACCTTTGTATGTTTCCTGCTTCTCCTTCGTGATGCAATAATGTTCTAATAAAAAACATAAACTGTCAAAATTATAAGTTTGTTTTCATTTCCAATCAAATTAGTTTGTTTCACCCTTTCTCACAAGAGTTATCAGTTATATGAAAATGTTTAATTTAATTTTCAGTTAATCGCATACCACACCACTAATTATTATTTCTTATTTTCGATTAAAAATATTATCAATACTAAATGTGTATGCATAATTATAACATTTTATTTTTATATCACTTTCTAACTTAACGTATGGAGCACTAAGAGCCACTAACTTTTCGAGTCTCAACTCTCGATAGCGACTGCGAGGAGCGACAGTGACAAATTTAACATGTTTCATTCCTTCATTTCATGTAGAATTTACATCTCTAGGATTTCGATCCATACCGATGACGGCCGAACCGAGTAGTTTGGGCGAGAATTAGGAAACTCGCGCATTGGGAAATATTCACATTAG